GAACCAGAACCCGAACTTGATCCCGAATTCCTGCCAAACGGATGTCCAATAGACGGAGAAGTGCACTGGCTCCTGCCTCATGAAAACAACTGCAACCTCTTCTACTATTGCGTATGGGGTAGCCGTGTTCTTAGAGAGTGCCCCGCTGGCCTACATTTCAACAAGAAACTGCAGGTAAGATTATTTTTACTCTTAAAAACGTAGATTTTCTTAGGTTATGACTTTGCATTTATATAGCTTATAAACACACGCATTTGCTAGATAAATCTATACCAAATACCAAACATACCAAATATTCTCGACACATTTTATGGTTGAGATTCTTAGGCTAACTGGGAAAAAACCATCATGATCTTTTAAATGGCAAGGCGTCGGAACTTGTCTCGTCATATCTCAACGGTAGAGTTCAGAAAGTAGACATAAATGGAGTGACTTCTTTGGGTTCTCCGGTAAAAATGGGTGTTCCGCAGGGCTCAATACTTGGGCCTTTCTTATTTATATTAATTATCTGCCTTTCTTTTAGTTTTGCAATTAGTATTAACAAATTTAAATAACCATTGATCGTGCAGGAATAGCAGTGAGGTCATAGGAAAGTGATAGTTTACCGCCATAAAAATATTATTTTATAATTTTACAAGTCTAATTTAAAGTTTACTGGCAAAGAGTGCGTTTCATGATATTTATTTTTCACTTCACTACTTCGAAAAGGCTTTTTTTTCGAAAGTGTTTTTTACACGCTACCGTGGAAAAGGTTTTTGGAATTCGAACTGAACGATGGACTGTGGTGCACCTAGCAGTAGAGCTCCTTGTGAATAGTAGCACCATGGTAGTACCTTACCTATTTCTGCCGCCAAGCAGTAATGTCAGCATTACTGTGTTCCGGTTTTAAAGGGTAAGTGTGCTGGTGAAATTACAGGCACATGAGACTTGTCAACTTATGTCTTAGGGTGCCTGGCACAGAGGTAGTGCCCTTCAGATCTTTGCAATTTAAAGCTCAGGTTTCAATACAAGCATTCCCGTCAAATAACCACTTTGCAACCTTGCGTAATAAATAACTACTATTGAATATCATAATGTACAAATACCATATTTTCATAATATTTTGTTGTTATAATTATTGATATAAAGATTAAGTTCATCTTATGTTTGGAATAAGTAACGAATATTTTAACTATTTCGAAAAACGAATAAATATAGACATCGAGTAAATTGATATAAATTATACTTATTTTACGACGAATGTCAAGTCTAGTTAATATCTATTAACAATTGTATTTATCGAACAAAGCGGAAGATGGAATATGTGGTGTCTCAGGTTTTTAATCCATACGAATGCGTAATTACAAAATTCAGCATTTTCACAAAATTTATCATGAACGTGATCCGTCTAAGTAATTTAGCGAATATTATGAAATTAACACAGTCCGGCGTTTCAGATTAAGCGCAAGTTATACAAAACAATCCCGAAACGCAAATATCTCTGTGTTACGGTGCAAAGTTGATGGTATTCTAGATAGTGGTCTATGTCAAAACCAAATTATCATCAAATTCGTCAGGAACACATGAGAAGTTGACGAATAGTCAACCATCCCGATGTTGTCATATGATTATTCTATCCAATTAAAAGATTGAAATCCAATCACAATGATATTTAACAATTTCTGAATAAATCTCAGTAATGAATCAAAAAAGGAT